GTAACATGCGAGGCCACTGAGGTCATGGAGCGCAGTGCAGAATAGAGATTAGTGGAGAAAGTTCAGAGTCGGGATCCAGTACTTACACAATTTCATCCGCTCGGCTGAAGTTCTGCGCAGTTCTGCGCCTGGAATACCTGCTCGAATCTCACCAGGACAGAGCACGAATCATCGTAGATCATAAAGATGGTTTCAACAAAGACGATTATGAGCGAATCAAACTTACACAACTTGACGAAGTTTTGGCCTATATTTCTACCTCCCCCCATGATTTCCTCCGTTGCTGTTGACTCCTCTCAATCTGTAATGTAATTGCATGCACGTATCTCATTTCAGGAACTCGCTTGCGACTTCTCGCGTCGAGCTGCCAATTGTGTCTGGGGCTCTACAGAATCCACAGCTGGTAACGAAGACACAGAAATTGCAGCCAATCAATGGATGGTGGGACATGGACCGCTCAATCAGGAGAAGTTCTATTCCCTCACTGGCAACAACAATTTACCAGGTACTACTTTGCGGATGTGTTCCGAAAAATATACTATCAGGGTTGGACTTTCTCGACCACCCGTAGGGGAACAAAACAACAAGTTTACATTGAGAGATACAGTCGATATCACCGCAACCAGTAGGGGTGGTGCAAGAGACATGGGATTAGCCCACCCGCGGCGTTTTCACCATTCGTTCTTTCCTTTTTAAATCAGTCACTAACTGGTCACTTATGGTAGGTAAAGGCAGCCGGGCAGGTTTATTCCGCCCCTGATGACACAGCCCTGACTGATTGTGACAATATTAACCACCATGAATTTAGCTATGATCAGGTCACACTAATAGCAATAGCCATACTATTGTAGCCTTAGTCCATTAATTCAGATGGCGAGTTTGCTGTTGCCCGAATGGAGACTGGCGGTTCAACAATGCTCCTTTCCGAAGTGATCCGTTGTGTCGTGAATGATGTCAGCATTCAGTTCAATCTATGGCTCACAGGAACTGCCAAATTGCAGGTGATTCACTTTGAGTTTGGAGTCGTCCACCAGTCTATTCTTTTAAAATCATTCCCAACCAGGTGTGCCTGGTAGACGAAGCAACACCGTCACTTCTGGACTGCCAGCCCGCTAGTTCGGGTCCAGTCGTGGTCGACCTGCCTCGAATAGTAAGGCCGTTCCGAATCGCTCTTCGAGCAGAGTCTCCCGATCAGGGTATGGTTATTGTGGATGATATCAGTGTGCAGGTGAGACATTTCACATTTAGGTTCTTTTCTCACCAACCTATCATTAAAATCTTCATGTAATTTTGTTGAGTCGTGGAAGGTAGATGGCAGTAGAATAGGCAGAGAATATTCATTAGGAATAACACACATAATTAACTGGAAACGATGGTTTAATATACTCACTTGAGATCACTCAACAGGCCAAAAAGTGGGCGCCGAAACTTCCAGAGAGGGCGCCCTACGAGATAGCTGTATTGTAGAACACTAGCCTCCGCCCGCGCTCGCAGATCAAAACCAATTCCAGCCGCAAAGCCGCTACACTAATTAGCCTGTAAAGGACATTTAAAAAAGTCAATAACGGCAGGTTATTATTAGGTTATCCGGAAAGTACTGCAGGTTTTGTGTTTCTCAGTAGTACATCCTGAAGAGAATTCTTTGCGCTATCTGATGGTATAACTGCCGTTTCACCATTGCTTGATGAACCCCCTTTTTTTAAGATTTTTCAAGCATGTGAAAAGAGCACTTCGGACGATTTTTTTCTTCGACTATAAATTGGGGCAATCCGCAATCGAAACAGCTCAACAAATTAACCGGGTGTGGCCCAATAGTGCTAGAGAAAGCACTGGCGCGCATGGTTCACAAAAATTTCGTTCTGAATTCACCCTTGAAGGTGAACCTCAGCGGTCGTACCCTTAGCCGTCCGACCCCAAGAGCAAATCATCTGACAGAGGATTTAACGGGATTTTGAAGGCGACCCATCCCAAAATCGAAATATCCAGAAAAGCTAGGCGTTGGCAAATCCACTGTTGCAGATGGTCTGGAACGCATTGGGAAGGTGAAAAAACTCGACAATTGGGTGCCCCACAATCGGAGTGACCGGCAGGAATCGGCACGTCTCGAGGTTCCTTCTGCATTGCTTTTGCGCAGCAGAAACGACCTGTTTTTGGACCGAATTGTCACCTGTGATGAAAAATGGGTCATGTATGATAACAGGAGACGTTCCGGACAGTGGTTGGATTTCGACGAACCACCGACC